TTTTATAAATTTGAAAGATCACTTTAGTTATTCTGTGATAATAACAGTCTTGTATTCAAACAGGAGCTTAATGATGTCAAAATTTATAGACATTAAGTTGCTAATTTTTAAGGAAATAATTTAGAGTGTTCAGGTTTCAATGGAATAATTAGGACAAACAATAATCCAATGTCTTTCATGAGCATATTGCTCACATGGGTATTGCATTTTTAATGATATGCTAGTTTAGTAGGGGTTTGTATTTGGATGTTGTCTATTTTAGACATGATTTTTATCCATGGATATTCGATTTATTTCAAAAATAAAGTATTCAGTTCAATTCCACTCTGATTAAAGTTTTATTTGATCTCATAAGCCCCCGTTTGATTCCCATTCTTTCCAAATTTTAATGGTTGGAATAATATTTTTTTTGAAAAATGTGTGATTGAAAAAGAATGAAAAGTTTTTTATTTGTGTGTAATATTATTTTATGGAAGATTGTGTGGTTGAAAATAAGAGAGAAAGAAAAAGAATGAAAATGAAAATGGAGGCCAAACTGGGGTTAAGGTAGAACCAGTTGGAAATAGGCATATTCAGACACATTGCATGTAATTTTCATGCTACAACATTCACACTTGATCTATGTCATTTAATTATGTTGATATACGTGACCATTGAGAGTTTAGTTATGATAATTTTAACGAAGACGACTTTGATTCTATATTAGCATAACTAATGGAGGAGATTGTTTGGAGATACCTTTTGATTATGATAGCAAAAGTATTGAACTCATAAAGTTATACACATTTATATGATAACATATATGGCCTAAGTGGGAGATTGTTGGAAAATTATTAAGTTTCCATGTGGGTCGACATATGTAATTAATTGTGTATAAAAGTTATTTAAAAATTAAGCCCAAAATTAAAGTAATCTAATAAAAAATTAAGTAATTGGGCTTAGAGCATCTAAATAAATTGCAAGCCAAATTATATGTGTAGAGACCGAAAAAACTATATATAGAGTTATGGTTCCTAATTTATATGTAACTTCTCATTCTTTATGTCATCACATCAACACAATAATCTAGAGAGAAGGCATATTGAAGAGGAAGATCCAAAATCCACAATCACAATTACAATCATGAATCAAGATGAAGGAATTCAAGAATTAAGATTATGGAACAAGAAGCAATACCAAAGACAAGAATTAAAGAATCCAAGGAGGCAAAATTCAATATTGAAAGCAAGAAACCAATCAAGAAGGATTCCAAGTTGATTTTGAAGATCAAGATCCGAAATTAAGATCCAGGAGTAAAGAATCATTCTCAAAGAATTAAGGTATATTCACATTATTAATTTTCTTAATGATTTGACATGAGGGATCTTGGCAATAAAGTAATTAGGTTTTCATGTTATTAAGATTTAAAATTTCATAAAATTTCAACATACTATAGTCAATATAGTGCATCCATTTGTGAAAGAAAGTACGAAAATTCGATTTTCTATCCAAAGGTAAGTTTCAAATTTATTGCAAAGAGTAAGAGAGTGATCGAGCACTATGATGCACAAACAATTTCATACAAACGAACTGTGATCGACAGTAGAGTGCTTTTGATCAAACTACTTTTAGTATTTGTGTAGTTTTTATATTTTTGTAAATCAAATACCTTTTTGATATGTGGTTAAATTCAAGCCAAGATCTTTTGTATAAGTTTTATCCTTTGTTTAGGCCTTCAGAATTAGTACTAAATTTGAAATATGTGCATAGTTAGATGCACTTTTGAGGCCATATAAATGTAACAACCTAGCTGCACATGATTGGTGAAAATATATACAGGTTTGGTCAATTTCGTGTTCAATTATTTTTAGTCCTAGCGGTAAATGATAGATACTAAGTGCTGTGCATATCGACCTGTGTAGTGCTACGTGCCAAATTTTATTACACAGTCTATTGCCTTACTATTTTTCATAAATTTGTTTTATAAGTGATTCTTAAATCAATTGTCATGTTTAACAATTTTAATTAAGAATTTAACTTATGGTGTTATTACCCTACTTTGAGGTGCTAATACCTAACTTCTAAATGATTATTTGATTATTTCCACTACAACTATCATCTTTATTTTAGTACTTGAAAGATGAACTTATTTTATGACTAAATTATATATATAATGCAACTTGGCGATGTGGCATGTGACACTTATAGCATTGGTCTTCGATGAGCTTTTAAAGCATCTAAATTTTTCTATAAAAGTAGCAATTGTTTCTTGCTTTAGTAAAATATTCCGTATTACAACACTTGATACCCCTTATGGTGCTGAGACAATGTATGAAATCTTTCCATTAATTATATCATCCATTTACATCACATTGACAAATAAATTAAATTATATGCTAAGGGAGTTAAGATACTTGAGACTGTGGCTAGTGTGAGATATTATACTATCATGTTGTATCTAGACTATTAGTTTGTGTGAGAATTGATATAGTCCCTGTTTGGTCTTCATTAAATTAAAATTCAATTTTCTCTTTCCTCTTATCATTCATACATTTTTCAGTAAAATAATATTACACGTAAACTTAAAAAAAAAATTCTTCTTTTTCAACCATACATTCTCCAAAAAATTACTATTGCCCTCATTAAAATATGGAATAACAGAGTCCAAACATGGGCATATTCTAATAATTTCTTTTAGCCTTAATGGAAACTCATATAGGGAATATCTTTACATCCATGAGACAATTATGACTCTAATATTGGAAGAAAGTGACAACATTTCTCTAGAATTGATTACACTTCTTTTGGATAGTTTATAAAGTAAAAAATATGAGGTTTTTCCTGATCCATTTAATGTAGTGGAAAGATTTTTTGGAGAGTGCACTGAAAGATCCAAACTTATTTGTCACAATCTATTAAATCTTTGGAAGTTTATTTAGATGATTATAGTACAATTATATCATCCCTTTCCGTAGAAGATTGAGTTTTGGACAGTATGTTGTGTCCCTATCGTGATCACCTATAATCGATACACTTAACACCAACATAATTGAGAAATTATCTAGCATTGCCATCAAAGTCAAAAATTATATGTCATCAACATCGTGCCAAAATTGTTGTCTTACTCTTTTGGATGACTTTCACATTGACGACATTATTTTTTTTTTTTTTTTTTTTAACCTACATACCGTGTTAGCTCATAATTATATTGTCAATGTTCCTAAATTTCATCATATGCTAAAGAAAATTTATTTTCAATTATGAAATTTTTGAGCCTTTTTTTTATGTGCAATATAGGTTCGGAGACACTCACAATTATTATTATTTTTTGTTGTGTGTCTCATTGATCGATTTTCTAAATATGTTTAGAAAAAGTTGTTGGAACATTCATGTAAACATAATCAATTTGATTGGCCAACATACTTGAATGAAACTTAAATTTTCAATGTAGAAGAATTATTTTCCTAGTGGGGTTCATGTGAGCCTCGATACATCAAACGTTTTTTTTCTACAGGCCAACCTACATTGCTAGCTTCTTGTACTCCTCATTTATGCACAACTAAGTGAAGATTTTGTGAATGGGTTGCATGAATTTTTGCTCTGGATTTCCATATCAATACTTATTCAAAATGTGATATCATCCCCTTGGTCCGGTCATATTATTAGGAATGATTTGCAGCTTCAGTTCCCATCAAGTAGTTCAGGTATTGGGTTCATAAGTAAGACCAAAGCTAAGTATGTGTTCAGCTAGATGATTTTGTCCAAGAGTCTATACAAGTATTTGGTCAAGATGAAAGATATGGCTTCCTGGGGTATGAAGTTTCAGTGGCTACCTCATCTAAATTGAGTTTTCGCAACTTAGAAGAAATGATGGAGATCAAATTAGAGATAAATAAAGATAGATGTAAAGTATAATTAAGATTCAAAATAGAAATTTATTTAAAGTATGTTTATTTTATTTAGATTTGATTAAATTTTATATTAGTAGAATTTCGTTTGATTTGATAGTCGTTCAGTTTTTTGCTCTATATATAGGGTGGCTTATTCAATGTAATAAAACACCTGAATTATATAAATAGAATTACTCTTCTTGCCTTAAATTCTTTCCTTTGAACCTCTTTTTTCTTTGTTCTTTATAAAATTTGCACACTCCTGAATTAATTAGTTATGCTGTTACTTCCATTATTAAATTTAACGTCCTAATCTAGGTAAATATGATATATGTACTGGCTGCAAATCTTGAAAGTAGAGATGAATAGAGCTGCCTTATCTGGGTTTGGGCAAAAAAATCGAAAAATCGACGAACCAATCAAATCGAACTAACTCAAGTCTATTGGGGTCGGTTTGACATAGATAATTAGTTTGGTTTGACTTTCTTTTAAACAAAACAATGTTGGGTCAGTTCAGTTATGGTTTGAAGTGTCAAACCATTAGTTAACTGAATCAACCCAACTCACTTACATGTTTACTTCTTCTTCTTCTTCTTCTTTTATTTTTTATTATTATAAATTTGAGAAAAAAAAATCAAAAGATAAGCCCCAATCTCATAACTATATCTCAATTTCCTCCAACTCACTTACATATTTACTTCTTCTTCTTCATTTCACAAGCTCATTATGTTATGCTTAACATTTTTCCTACTCAGATAGTCACACTACATAACACATAAAAAAGCAACAATTTTTAGTTCTTGTAATCTAAGTGGATCCAAAACTTGGACCTTTCTTTTTAAAAAATTCAATTTGGATTAAAAGTCCAAACCAACTAATGGAAAAGAACCAAACCAAACCGATTTTGAGCACGTTCAATTTTCAAGGTTTGATGTCATGAATCATATGGCATATTTACCTAGCAACGAAAGACATGTAGGATTATTAAATGGCAAATGAAAGATTGGAAGTAAACGGAAGGTTAGCCTTTAGTTTAGTAAACGGAAGTTTAGTTCTAAAAATAACAGTATTTAGGTTAAAATTAAGAACATACCGGTTTCAAAGACAAAATAACGAAAACTTAAAATCAACTTTTGTCAAAAGTTCTGAACTTTTTTTGTCAATTGAACTACAAGTTTGGGAACAGAACCGTTGAATAAAATGCACATAATAAAATGAAATAATGGACTACTACACGCTCAGGAGATAATGGAAGAATTACATATTTAATTTCAGCCTCAAGAAGCTATATTTCTCCACATCATTGTTTGGACGACACGAAAAACAGTACAATTAACGAATCAGCTACTTTGTTTCCATGTTATAAAGTCCATCGACTCACTCTATTCAGGAGAATCTTGCAAGGTTTTCTTCAATACTTACCTGGTTTTCTTCCCCTCTTCACCGCTTCACAGTTTCAGGTCCACGGCAAGCAAAACCCGGCTAAATGATGTCATACACCAGAAAAACGAATCAATTCTTAGCGTACATACATAGGGCACATTTAGTATGTTCAGCCTTTCAAACTCGAAAAATGAAAGGAATTAATACCTGGAGAAGCATGGACGGAGCTGCTAAGGGTTCAGTGGTGAAATGGCTTCTGGTCTTTCGTCCGGTTAATGTGGCAACGGATGGACTGTTAGCTGTAGTAATATCCCAAAACCTTCGTTTTTTGGCAGTGGGTGCTGGAGATAAAAATTGATGAGCTGGGCTCCTCAGGTTACCCTCTGGTGGTTCTTTTGCCTTGGAGCTATTCCTTTTCACTCCTTTGCCTCTCTTTTCGACTATTTCTGCACCCCTTAGTGAAAGATGATGAATACAATTATCCTTGTGCTTCATCTGCAAAGCATGATCCTTCTTCATTCTCTGAATTTCAGCCTCCAGTGATCTGATAGTCTTCATAAGTTCTTTTACTGTCTGGTTGGCAAACTTTGTCCTTGATACTGGTGAAAAACAATTGCCTACCGATAAAGAAGATCTTGGTTTTTGTTTTTCATTAAGGGTTGGTGAAGAGGTTGCTGCAATGGACTGCGCTTTGATGGTTAGTAGCTTCTGTTGTTGTCGAGCCAACTGCATTCGTAATTCTCTGTTCTCTTTCTGTAACTCGAGTAACAACTTGGCCTGATCTGTTTCAGAATCTGGTATTTGAGTTTCCTCATTTACATCACAAGCCTGGAAATGACAAGTGATATCAAATCCAAGAACATGCCTTGTAAAAGTCATAAGGATTGCCCATCAAAATGAAGCAATGAAAAGGGATGGGCGGCATTATGAGGATGTACTGTACAGAAAACTATGAAAAAGTACGACATGATGCATTTAAAAAGAAAAAAAAGGAAGAGAATCACGACAGCTAATGAAATTGACTATGACCTTTATCCGGATTTCTTTGGCTCGATCAGCCCAATGAAGTGTGTTTTGGGTTTCACCAAACGATAAGCTGCTGGGGCTGATATTTGCAATCATTACAGTGTTACAAGCTCCACCGAGCGAATCTTTTAGCAGCTGAGTGAGCTTGGAATTGCGATATGGTATATGCTTCTTGCCCTCGACCAGCGCATTGATGCAGCTGCTCAGGGCAAGGAGTGACCTGTTGATGTTGGCACCCTCAAGGGATCTAAGTGTTCTCTGATCAGTAGCAATAGCTCTCTCGGAACCAGCAAGATCAATAAGTGAAAGCTTTCCCACTCGATTGACAACATTGCCTGAAGCACCTTTCACTTGGTATTTGACCACAACCTGAACTTTACATAACAGAGGATACTTATCACTGGCAGAAGAAATAAGGTTATTACAAAAGTTAGGATTGTAACTACCTGCAGTATTGCATGAGATCGGGAAGAAGTTTCATTTGCACGAGTTGGTTCTGTTGTTCGGTTTAGGTTCCCTTGTTGAAGTAATGCCATAACCTGTTAATTATTAGATAAATACATCAAGCCTGATGTTTTATTCTCGGTTCTTAGTTAATTTGAAAAAGGAAACTGAAGATATACTTCATCGGTGGAGCATGCTCTGTATTGAGTAAGACCTGCTGCTACAATTCCCTGAGATATTGGAAGTAATATTCAGTCAATTTTATTTTTGTAAGGTAGGAGGAATGAGCATTACTATTGCAAGGGGTGTAAACCATTGGGGAGAGAACATGATAACACAAAATGGCTAATGCAATTCTTTTTATAAGCTGGAGGAATCAGAAAGGTAAGTATTATGAAGTGTATATACATGGTGAAACACAAACCTGCTTATCTTCCCTAAGAACCAGTGGTCTTCCCGGGGAAAGTAAATCTCTCACAGTTTCATTATAGACCTCAAGATAGGATAGATGAACTGTGTGGTTTTCATCAAAGCTACTTTGTTGTATCTTGCTAAAGAGATCCTTAATTGCAAGCACCATTACTCCTGGATTATCCGTTGTGCCAAGCATTGTATATGTTTTCCCAGCTCCTGTTGCACCATAGCAAAAGACAGAGCCATTTCTTCCCTGCAAAACAGCTTCAACAAGACCTGCTGTTCTGAAAAATGGAACATAGCAATTAGGTAACGAACATCAACAGAAATGTGCACATATAAAGAATTTCAGCATCAATTAAGCATCAAAATGATGTATGGAGATGCAACCACTGTCCTCAAAATGTATAACTGATAGGAGAGGCACAATCAAGCCCTATATCAATTACAAGTTAGACCATGGAATCCATCCCAATCACTAATCTTTTTGGCCTACGAAATAGGTCAATCCTCTATTCAAGTGATGCTCAATAAAACTTGAAAGTTGATTCTGATTCGATTAATTTACATTGATTTTTCCCCAATAACCAAATACTTTTGTTTGTAAATACTGCATATTTGATCCATTTGAGTTGTATACCCTATCTCTATAAATATGAAAGAATTAGTCCATTATTACTAATAATACTGGAATCAATGGTGCAGAGTTAAAAAGGGATCACCAGAGAGATGGCAATAAGATATTCAAAAAAATCAGTTTTCTTTTCAGGAGTAAAGGGATGAGAGCAAACAATTTATTTTTTTGCTCTCTCATTAAATCTCTCTTACTGTTTCACAGTTGCAAAAGACAGAATAGCTAATCAAATGAAGAACTAATTCAGTTAATAAATTGAAGTTTTAACTTGCTCGGCCACAAACTTAGGATCTAAAATCACCAGCAGAACAATAATAAGATCTCTAACACCATGCTGCAACTTATGAGACCTTGATGCAACTTACTGTTCCTTTCATTCCTATAGTTTCCTATGTTTCTACCATAATTTTATTAATTGTTTTACATAGTAGTAGAAAAAAGAACTGTTTTGAACATTGTCCAGGTCTCATCACAACAGCAGCACCAAATTTTGAAATATCAGAGTTTCCACAGAGACAAAATGTTGCACTAAAGGTACGCGGGAACCTTGAGTGTTGCGCCTATTTTTTAATGTAACTCCATGAACTGAACTAATAGATCATGACAACACCATCAAGACATCATATTTTTTCTTTTCTCTTTGGTTTTCTCCTTCAGTGTTTAAATCTCATGACGATTGACGAGATCAACTAAAACTAAAGAAACTATTTTCCAGAAAAATATCCACATTGGCAGCTAGATATAAACAATAAAAAGATTATTGTGTTTTCCGACTCACGTTTTGGAATAAACCTCCTGCTGAGTAGTAGAATCCGGGAATGAAGCATCAAAAGTGAAATGCCGGCCACGAAGCCTCTTTAGCCTAAGATAGTCATTTTCATTTGCAAATTCTGTCAAATAAACATCCCTTTTATTGACAATTCTCACACAACATCTTGATCCGGCTTCCCTCTCCTTCTTTGCCACTGGCCTCAGCCTCACAAACACAAGAATCCTACCATTTTCCATTGTTGATTTCACCTCGGTGGTCTTTAATTCTCTGACATCAACCGTTTTACTTGCACAAGGCTCACTCACAATTGAGAGCTTCCTGGCCACTTTACTGGACATATTAGCCTTTCTTGGAGACAAAAGTCCCACAATCCGATCACCACCACACGCAACTACAGCGTTCTCCTTTGAGTCTTCTGCCATTGAATGCAATGGCATGACATAAGCCCTTTTCTGAGTTGAACTATTCAATGTGCTCTCCCTCATCACATGGCTAATACTGGGTTTCGATTCTTTAGTCTGTTTCTCACCTGTATTTCCAGAACTAAGCAGATCTACACTTGGGTGTGTTGAAAATCTTGGCTTTTTGATAGCCTGTTTCTGCTGTTCATACAAAAGAGTGAGTGCTTTCATCTTCTCTTTGAGTCCATGGTGTGGATTTCTCAGTGGCATATGGCTCTTTTCTTGTTGATCTGTCGTTCTTGGCTCATGCCTGCTGATGATCTGCGATCTTGTAGATACGGGCATTCTTGATTATACTTATTAACCTCACTTCCCTGATGAAACAGTTGCTGAAACTCGAAAAAATGATTTGCTGGTATGGAAAAAAAAAAAAAATCAAATTTCTACTCCAACTTGTGATAATTCAAGAATCTTGATTAAAAACTAATGAAATGATGGATGATTTAACACCGCAGCAGGTAATCAAGATTGCTGTAGGTTTTGGAGTGGAATTGGGGGAAGAAATCTGAACCGTTGATTGGAGAGAATAATAGATAGCAATAAAGCGGGCAGGGAAGTTTTTGAAAAAGAGTTGATAAGAACACACCATTTATTTTATTGACAAGCTCACTGCGGTGTGGTGCTGCTGCCGTTGCGAATTGGATAGATCTGGTAAAGTCAAAAGTTAGAGTGGCAGGGAAGAGTGAGCTTTTAAAATATTTAATTGGTAATCTTGAATGTAACGGTCAAAATGAGTCGGAATCCTATAATTTGTTAAAAAATTCAAAATGTTTGTTAAATTTTTACTATAGTAGTGGTTATTCAACTTTTAAGAGTTACACTAATATTTATTTGATCACAAACACTAACCTAAAACCTCGAGTCATCATTAAATTTCATTGCAAGCGTAAAAGATTATTAAGTCCGACAAAACTCCACTAATTATATTACATAATTGGTGAAACTCAGCATTTTTGTTCACGAATTATTGAAGGTGACGTTTTGTCTAACATGGCTTACCAATTAATGCCTTTTAATCAATATTAAAACTCGGTGAAATGTAGAATTTTAAGTAAAGCTTTCCAATCAAGTGATCATTAGAGTAATTTTCAAAAATACTATTTTAAAAAGTTACTATTATAATCATTTTAAAGTTTTTAACAAACTTGAATAATTATTATTGATATTAACTCGTTTAAAACATTTCTTCAATCCCGGTTAAATCTTTTGTAACCAAAGTGAAAATGAGTAGGGCAGCTTAAATTAAAGTCGTAAGATGTGGGTCATGCCCCTTGAGCCGGATAATTGTGACCGGTCTATATTTTATTCTAAATAGGGATAGCTAAAATGAACTAGAATAATTCAATTTCCATTTTAAATTAGGAATTTCATTATGGCATTTTGGACATCAAATATTTTACTTAAAATCAAAACGAGCCAAAATTAATAGCTTGAGACTCAAAATAAATCATCACATTCAGTAGCGGATTTAGACCACAGCCAGCTACGGTGGCCGCCCTAGTTTGATTCGTCGAAGAGAATTTATTTATTTTTGATGATAATAGATAGAAATTTTAGATTATATATTTAATAATTCACAAACTATGAGCAACATGTTCTGTTATCAAAATATGAATATAAAAACTTAGTTCAGACTTCGAATTCTCCCTTCGAAAAGCTGGTGCAATCAATCTTTAAGTGCAATGTCATAAATGTGATCCTCTTGCTTAAGATCATTCAAATTTCAAACCCTAACAACCACAATCGAACAAATTTAGCCCTTGTATGAAAACCATTATTTCAAAACTCTTTAATTTTTATACTCATTTTTAATCACACAATTAATAAAATATTTTACATGTAAATCAAATATTTTTTTCTACTTTTTAATTACACATTATCCAAAATATATAATCATAAACTTCATCCTTCAAATTAGTGACCATCCAATAGGGGTTTAATCAGTTACCTCCAAAGCCTACAACTCTCTAGGCCATGTTTGAGCCACGTTTTTAAAAAAAAAAAAAAAATACATTCTTAAATTGTAATTTGACATTATTTCAACTGCACAATTTTCAATAAAATAATATTATTCGTAAATCTAAAACTTTTCTTTATTTTTTAACCATGTATTTTCCATCAATACACTATTAAAAAATACATTATAAGGAAAATAATGTGGCTCAAACCTCACATTCTAGGAAAAAAAATATATTATTCATGTCAAATCAATAAGATATGTGTGGTTAAAAAAATAAGGAAAAGTTTTAAATTTGCTTGTAATATTATTTTATTGAAGAATGTGTGGTTGAAATGATATCAAATCACTGTTAAAAAATATATTTTTTTAAAAATAATGTGTGGTTAAAATGATGTCAAACTCAAATATCTCAAATACTAAGAGGATTTATTTATTTCTTAATACCTACCTACGTCACCCACACATTAAACTTCTCATACTAATATTTAATCATTCAAGCAAATCCACTTCTATTCATCAACTACCTGTAGAGCTTCAGTAGTTGCATTCTAAAGTTATTCTGGCAAATATGTAAGAAATTATTTCGAGATACAATAAATCTTCAAAAGGAACAAATCAACATATAAGAGTTCCTTTTATTACACAAATTACATAATGAGATGTGAGAAATATGCAAACATACATACATACATACATACGTACATATGTATACACACACATACAAATAATTGATTTTGATCAGCTAATTCGTTGGTTCATGAGAAAGATGAAATACGATCAATAAAGAATTGTAGAGAGTCTCAAAAGTTCAAACTTCTTATTAATCAAAACAAATGAATGCCTCATCAACCCATATAAGCTTATAAACAAGTTTTTATCTATTTCGAGAACACTAAATTGTCCTTCTAAAGATTTAAAAGACACATGAAATAAACTAAAATAACATGTGCTAAATAGAATAAAGAAACATCGTACCTCGACTAAGGCAAACTGTTCATTTTGGTGCTAGTCCACACCTCTTTAATTGAGTATATTGATTCATGATTGCGTTCGCTATCATCTCATCCTCATCAATAAATCATGCATAAATATAGTATGTTTTTAAAATTTTAAAATTGTAATAGGGTAGACTTATAGTGGAATAGATATATAAAAATGTTGTAAATATATAATGGTTAAATGAATGAATTTCATAAGGATAATGTTGGAATATTACTTGGATGAATATAGTAATTTTTTAAAATTTTAGATGGATAGATTTAGAATAAGATAAATATATAAGTATGGTGGATGAAAATTGTGGCTCGCATTTATTGTACATAAATAATGTAGAAGATAATATAGTAATTTTTTAAATTTTAAAATTTAAAGGGGATAGATTTAGAGTATGATAGACATATAAGAATGGTGGATGAAAATAGTGGATACCATTGTTAATCCATGGATAATTATTGGAAGATAATGTTGAGATTAACACATAGTTTACATACAAACAATCCTAATGCTAAAGCGTCATATATTAACAGTAATTCAGCTAGATCTATACTTGTACGAATTTATTATATACTAAGACTTTTAACATAGAGTTGTTTAAACATCTTTTTATCTCTTAACATATATAACTAGAAATAATTTTACAAAAGATTTTACATTCTAATGTAACCACAAGCTAGACCACCTACAGTTTCACAAAACCCAAAAAATTCAACATATTCCAATATGAGAAAAGTTAATTCATTTTATTGTAAATTAAATACTATTTAGTGAATAATTATTGTACACCTACAACTCTAATTATCATGACTAATGTACCCGTGTAACCCTAATTCTACCTAATATAGGGCTTTAATTCTCAATAAAATACACGTAAATCTATTGACTTTTTATTTTCTTCTTTTTTTCTCACTAGTTTATATCATATTATCAGCACGATCGTTCATTTTCTAAAATTATATTACATATCATAATTTTTTCGTCCAAGATTTGTGAGCAAATTACTTGAAAGTTTTCTAGGTATGCCAAATGTAAACTCCTTTCAAGATTAGTGAATTCATCAATGTTTTATAAATTTATCGGACCTAAAAATTCAAGAAAGTTTATTTTTACAAATATTTTAATTGTATTTTGCCCTTGTTTAGGCTTCATTTTAATGAGGTTTCTGAAAAAAAATATTTTGGAATAGTAATTTTTTTAATAATGTGCGGTTAAGAAGTAAAGAAAAGTTTTATGTTTATTTGTAATATTATTTTATTAAACTATATGTGGTTGAAAATAAATAAAGGGAAAAATGCATAAATTAAAATGGAGCCCAAACAGGAGATTTGTAAGATTCTGACGTATATTGGATTATTAAACTTTTTCTTTATATCCGTTAAATCTTTTGATTTAACTATTACTCCTAAAGAAGCATAAATTATTAAATTATCTTGAAGATTTTTATTTTTGAGAAATTACAATTTTATACGAGTTATATTCAAGAAGAATATTACACCATTGCTTCTAAATAGCACAACTTTAGTATTAAATATTTACGAAAGTATTATATTATTTCTCTTGAAGAAGCTAATTTTTATAGACCAATATTTTTAAAAATATCATTATTTCTTAACAATTATATTTCGAAATGTTTCCAAAATAATGTTGTTTTATTGCTTTGTAAGAAGATAATTCCACACAAATCAATATTACAGAATAATGTTTCTACATGAAGTACAACTTTATAATAATTAATATTTTTGAAAAATATTGTGTTATATATTTCTCCAAAGAGTATGACTTCATAAGTTTCAATTCCTGAGAAATATTATGTTGTAGTCCAAGTAGCACAAATCTCGCAAAAAAACTTATGATTTAATCCATGAAGAGATATTTTTATTTGCAAATTTATTTAAAAAAAAGAAAAAAGAAAAAAAAGATGCTTATCTTAGAACAAAGTAAAATATCGATATTTACATATTTGTGTTTGATTTGCTGGTTTGTACCAATATTTTAATAGAATATTGTGTTATTCTTTCATAATATTTTGAGAAGAATGTTAGTTCTTTCTCGTAAGGAAGTACAACTTATATAACAACCTAAAAAATGAAATTTATATATTAATATTCTTGATAAATATAGAGTAGTTATCCTTGAAAATTCAAAACTTTAAACAACTAATGTTGTAATCTTCTTGTTCAAAATAAATTTGGATGAATTGAGAGTATAAAAGAAAAATGAGAAACCATGGCAATAAAATGGCCTATGCAAGGCCTGCGGTCGCATAAGGCATTGCAAAAACTTTTGTGGCGATCTAGGAAAGCTATGTGACAGATGGCTATAATCTATGTTGTGGATTCATTTAATTTATAGCATGGTAGATTAGCGCAAATAGGAGTTAGTACTATGAAAAGAATGGTTTAATGTGGATTAATACAATGTAAAGTTGGCAACTTAGAAAAATGTGAAACATGTATTATATCATAAATGATTAAAAAATCATTTCATAGTGTAGTAAGATCAACAAACTTACTTGAAGTTCTTCATTCTGATATATGTGAACTAAGTGGGATGCTAACAAAGGTGGTAATAAATATTTTATTACTTTCATTGATGATTGCTCTAAGTATACTTATATTTGTTAAAACATAAAGATAAAGCCTTCAGTGCCTTTAAAACATATAAAGCTGAAGTTGAAAATCAGCTAGGAAGGAAATTAAAAACTCTAAGAAATGATAGAGGTGTACAATACTTCTCTATCGAATCCAATATGTTTTGTGAGCAATATGGAATAATATACAATGTTCTACACCTAGAACATCAGAATAGAATGGTCTAGTAGAAAGGAAGAATAACACATTCTTAGAGATGATAAATGCTATGTTATTGTATTCTAAATTACAATTCAATTTATGGGGTGAAGCCTTACTTAGTGCTTATCATATAGTTAATAAGATTCATTTGAAAAGAATAAGATCTTTCCATAAGAAATATGGAAAGGAAGGAACCCAAATATCAACTATTTCAGAGTGTGGGGGTGTTTTCCATATTGTAAGAACGCGGATCCCAAAAGAATTAAATTTAGTTCTAGACGTATCAAATGTGCTTTTGTGGGATATGCTCCAAATAGTAAGGCCTACAGGTTGTTCAACTTAGAGTAAGATGTTATAATAGAATCAAGAGATATAGAGTTTTTCGAGAATGTATTAGTAGCAAGAAAATTTCAAAATAATGGAAATAACCTCGAAGAAGTGAGAGATTCAAAAAAAGAAAAATATCAAGGATCGAATGAAATAGATTCCCAACTTATTTCTTTCTAATAGATGGAGATATGAGGAAAGTTGTAAGAACAACTCTTTTTGTTCTTCAAGTCAAAAGTGATCCTAAATCTTATAAGGAAGCAATGTCTTATAGAGATTGTATATCCTATAAAGAGGGAATAAATAATGAAATGGTTTCTATTATATCAAATAACACTTGGAAAATAGTTGATTTACTAAAGATGGTGTTTGCAGGCCTATAAATTGTTCATGGATCTTGAAACTTATGCATTATATGGCTAGTATAAATCATGTTCTTACTTGTCTATGATTATTGCGACGAATATCCACTTAACAAGTATGTTATCTTGCATACTTGGGAACTAAGAAGAAATCAATTGTGTCAGAGTTCATTGCTAACAAACACTAATAGTAATTGTCATCTATACAAATAATTATGTAGGTAATCCTGTTTGATTTTTTTATTTTGAACTTGAAATTGTGTTTCAATGCAATCATGTGCACAACTTCTAGAGATCTGTCATGGTGTCAAATAGTTGGCCGACCTGTAATCTTCATAATCGGGAACCACAAGTGAAGAATGAGAAGATCGTGTACTATTGGGGTTTATGAATTCCTACCCAAATCATGTATCTAATTGGATAAAGTAATTAGAACCTAGTTTATAGTGAAATTTCCTCCTGAATGTCTTGAACTATCTCGTTAGATTTGTGCACAGCATGGAGATCATGGTGTACGGTAACTATCTTTGGAAAAACTACGTCTTCCTCTTAAGTTACCTCCACTGGATCTTAAAAAAAAAATTCTCATTACTATCTACCTCATCAGATGTTTCGTGTTCAGTCTTAGAGATACCTTTCTTACTAAAGTTTCGCAAAAAAGGAGAACTTGATATTTGTTAAGTTGAATTAGCCACCTTACGTGCACTTTAGAAATAGTCTTTATCGATGGCACTGAAATAAATAGTCAAAAAATAGAAATATCAAATCCATCTCATATTCATAGAGATCAACGTTTACAAATTTTTTCAATCACGATACATGTTCATATATGATGTCTCGACATTAAAAAAATGACAGAAATACCTCTTTTGCATCACTCGTCCAGTCCATGAGACTATTTTCATTCAAATAAGATTCGCTAAGCAACAAATTGGGAAGAATTTCGATTTCATATTTGCATTTTAATTCAATTTATTTATTTATTTTTTTTAAAGTTAGATGTAGAAAGACATAAAAAGCTAAACAAGACGGCTGTTACGGGTCTAAGCCATCTAATAACGGACAATCTATCCGGATGATTTTTTTTTCTTTTTTTGCGTAAAAAATTGTAAAATAAATTGTAAAAATATTTCTTGACATATTAAAATAAGTCGAAATATGGTTTAATAATTAAAACATTAAACTAAATTAACGAAAATTACATTAAATATATTCAAACGTATTTATCAATTTAACGTAATGAATATTTACGAGATCTTTCGATTGAATAAATTTTAGGCTTATTAAAAGTCCAAACAAAAGCTAATTGTAGTGCCCCCTAACATAAAGAGAGCTCTTTCTAGGTGGTTGACGTTGCTTAGGACCAAGGTCCATAAAGCGGGAAGAAATTAACCCAACTCTTCACAGTCCATTCATTAGGGTTAGGAAAGATCTTGCCATAATTCATGTTGAGAAAGTACGGTTTTGAAACATGAACAGCCATTTTAAGCAAATGAACATGTAGATAAGTAGGCCTTTTTTGTAGCCCGCTCTTCTACCAAGTTCTACTTTCGGCTTGCGTGGTAATCAGGACGGAGAGAAAGGACTTGATTAACCTTTGCCTCGGAGCTATGTGTCCCAAACCAAAAATAACGTGCTAGGCTAACCCCCTTAACTTTTGATAAAATTTTGAAATTTTAGAGTTGAAAAAGATGAAAAACGAAACAACTGTTAATTGTTTTGGAGAAAATGAAAGAAAGAAAGAGAGTTTAGTTTGAAATTTGAATTTGATTGTTTAATTTTTGTTCTGTAATTGAAACGGTTAGAAACCTTACTTTAGTAATGAGTAATTATATTTTGACCACAATTTTTATTTGATACACTATATTTTAATTGTAGTTGAACTGTTCAATCTTTGCTTACTGTAACAATTATTATTATTTTGGTCATATTCATATTTTCTACCTTTCATTAATTAGTACGTCTTGTTCTTTATAATGATTTATATCAAAATATTTTATTTTTATGATTTGAAATGAGGATAAGGTATCTTTCGTACTTTATTTATTTTTTAAAAATACTATAAAAAATAAGTTATTTTACGTCATTTCAATGACTTTTGAACATAAACTTCTGTAAAATATTAATGTGTTAACTAATGGACTATTTGAGGATGAGAATAACATGAAAAATCATTAGGGACATTAGTGCTATAATAAATAAAGATTAAGAAGCTTAAGTGCAATTAAAATGTAGTATAAGAAATAAAAATTATGTTGTGAATATAATTACCCTTTAGTAATATTCTGAGCATTTTTGTCTTTTTATATCAAAGAGACCATTTTCACTTATGATTCGTAATGTAGCCTTTGTTTGATGGGCATTATTATGTAAAAATGATGTTTTGAATAATATTTTTTATTTTTTATTTTTTAGAATTTATAGTTAAAAAGTAAAAAAGCTTTTTGAGTTTACATGCAAAATATTTTATTGTTTGAATGTGTAATTGAAAATTAGTCAGAGAAATAAATTATTTAATTTTTAAAGGCAGTCATCTTCTTATACAACTCTAAGAGAGGGTGATTTTGATTTTTATAGTGAGCTACCTCCGGATGAAAAGAAAATCTCCCCTCCCTTTAACTAAATCATTTAACCATAAATGGCCCGAGTAGTTTATCGAACAAATTGAGTTATCGTGACGATACTTATCTTAGTGCATGTTTAACACACGTTATTTTATTTTATAGTTTGATATATTATCATTTTCAAACAAGAACCTTTTTTTTTTTTTTTTTCACTTTTTAACCATATATTTTCTTAAAAATTAGCACTCAAAACTCCTTTTCTACAATAATAATGATTGTCAAACAGGCTTTAAGTGGAAGATAGGAGAAGACTTATTTGTAAATGGGGTATTTGACTAGACTAACGTGAAATTTCCCCTGATTCGTGTCCTTTGGCTTCATTCATTTACGCTTATGAATTATTCTGCAACACATTCTTCATTTCACCCAAATTATATGATAGTAGGGTACGACCATCTAATGCACAATGTACAAAACGAGTTGTGCATTCTCTATCTCGTCCTCTTTGGCGGCGTCGGCGGCGACCATTCTTCGATTCCCTAGGTGTTGCCTCCTCTCCTCGAAAACCCTAATTTCTCTTGCCCCATTTCATTGCTCAAATAACATTTGTTCATATAGAACCCTCAGCTGCAGGCCAATGGCTTCAATTTCCACTCCAAGCCTAGCCACCTCACCAGACCCAGAAAAACTTAAACCCTGGCTCCTCGTAGGCCTTGGAAACCCGGGGAAGCGTTACAGCGGGACTCGGCATAACGTCCGTATATTTGTATATATATACACATTTATGATATGCATATCCATATATATTTGATGAGTTAAAAAGATTTGTTTGGCTTTTTCTTAATTAACAGGTGGGTTTTGAATTGGTCGATTTTGTAGCTGAAGCGGAGGGGATACCTATGAGCAGCATTTCTTTCAAATCCTGTTTCGGAAGAGGTTGTCATACTTTAGAAACTTTTGATAATACATAATTTTGCCTATTTATTACTTGTTTGCATTATATTTCTGGAGTTTCTGTCCTTCCGGTGGTGAATGCGTCATGTGGGGCTCTTAGTTACCAAATTATAACTATTTCTTGCAAATTTTAATAAACTAGATTTTTTTTTTTAATTTACAGTTTACCATTTTGCATTATTTTTCTGCAGTTCCTGACCTCTCAGTTGTGTAATCGACGTATGGGCTGTTAGTTGCCTAACTTTATACTAAGTTTTTCATTGCTAACTTGAACTTTTGTGTTCCAATCTTTTCGCATAATTTTCATTCATGTTTTACCTTTAACACTACGAAATTGCTGATATAGACTTGAAAAGGTTTTGGTTTACTCATAAATTTCCAGTTGTTTAACCATGTTTCATAAAATGAAGTTTAGTGACCGAAGCATAATTTTGCATAAAGTTTAGTCGCATAAATGAATTTTTGCTTAAACATTTAAGGAGGAGAATTATAAAAAAGAGAAGAAATACTAGAAAGACTAAAATAATCTCCTCTTTCAATCCTTGTCGAGCTGGCCCACCGTGCCACTATTGATTCCCCTCCCTCAATGCTGCCTATCCTTCCGTCTCTTACCCACCTACCATATGTTAATATGTGGATGACAACAGAAGATGTAGCACATGATCAGTTATTTACTAACCTTCTAGGGTGGTCCGTCTAGTTCAAATATTACACCTATTCTTCTTAGCGTTATGAGGTTTAAACTGGTTATGATGATACTAAAAGGCTTCAGCAAAATAAGTCTATATTTGGCTCATGTTTTTAAACTGTTTATAAATGCTTAGTCACTTTTTATTCACTCATAGATAGTGACCCTCAAGTACCATTTATTTATAATTTAGCCCATGTTTGAGCCTCATTATATAAAAGCTCGGTTTTCTTCAAATTCATTTTCTAACACACATTATTGTGGTAAAATAATTCGACACATTCTCCAATATACATACATACATACATACATACATATATATATATATGGGGATCAAACAGACCCTTAATACTTAACTAAATACTTCCAAACATGCTTTTAAGTATGTTATGCGGTAGAATATGTGTGAGCTAAATTGTTGAAATAAACTTATCCAAGAGAACAGACAAAGGTTTGAGGGAGAGAGGGAGGGTTGCCCGGCAATTTGACAAGAGTTGGGAGAGGGTGAAAGTTTTATTTCTCTTTTTTTCTATCATTTTTAAATATTGGAGCAAGATTTCACTTAGGATACTAAACTTTAAGAGATATTTTACATAGGTCATTAACTTCAGGTTGTAAAACATGCTTGTATGCAAGACTAAAATTATAAACTAAAGGTTCTCGAGGTCTAAGGTGGCTTGTTAGTCTACCACGTAATCTTTTCGGTTAGCATTTTTTTTTTAAAAATGGTGGTGGAAGGAGTGACTTAAATAGGACAAAATTGAAACACAATGGACTATGGAAGCAAGAATGTTAGATGACCAAAGTGAAATTCGCTATAAGTTCTGTGACTAAGAGTGTTTTCACCCACTTTTGTAATCATTGGCGTAATTTTGAGATGAATGTTACATTGATAATAAATTGTTTATAGGAGTACCTATTCTTGTTGGGTTAGCTATTATTTTTTTATCAAATTCTTTACTATTAATTTGTGCTCAATTTATTATAATAAATAGTGTTGAAATATATATTTCAATAATATAATTTTTTAAATAATTTTACAAATTTTAGTTTCTAGTGGTATAATCTAACAGAAATGAGGTTTTGTATTTGTAGACGTACATGCTTTAATATCTTGATGTGTTAATTTAATTTGACAATCTATTATTTGAGTTTTTATTAAGTTCTTTAGAATTGTAGTTATTTGAAATTGGTTTTTCTGTATATTACAATATTTGCGTTTGGATTCAATTTGTTAATTATTAATTAGACAAGATATTGGAGTTATTTTGTTGGTCAGACTTCGAAATCGACAAGTTACTTCTGCTGAAGTAACACACTATACTGTCAAAATAAGTTTTTACTTATAATCTATAATATATTAAAATATCACATAAGGAGAGAATCATTTTTTGGACAGTTTTAACCCTTCTATAATTCAGTTATTTCAATAATACCAAACTTTTCATTTTTCGATATGTAATAAATACTACATAATTATTGTCATTTATAAAATTTGTGTTATTAATCACATTAACCTAGATTTAATGAATTTTCACTTGAGAGGTCTTGAATTACATGAATCGAGAGTTATTATAGATGAATTTATTAGTATTCATATATCTAGAAATTTAGTGGGTGTTTAAATTTTTATATTAACAATTAATTTTTATGTATCAAATGTAATATAAAAAGATTGTTCATTTATAATATTTCATCATTATAAAAAAAATTGAATCATATAAATTGAGTTTTGAGAGTACAATTTGAGTATAATTTTCTTCTTTTAAATTTCTATGCTAAATTTTATTTTCTTTAATTCGTCCTAGACTCATCAAATCCTCCAACAAATTGGTACTAAATATTACTTTTACATCACATATAAAATATTTTAAAATAACGTGCAATGCACGTTCAACTTTGACTAGTTAAGAAAAAAGTTACTTTAGGTTTGCAAAAAATGTCTAAACTTAAGTCAGACCTATAAATATGTTTGAATTACTTACAAGCTCATCCATACAGCCAGCCTTCAATTTTCCATGTTATATTATGTTATTTTATTAGGTTTTTGTGCATAATATGAAAAGTACTATATTTTCTTATACAGTGGATTTTTTACTGTTGTTTTTTTCTTTCGTCCCTGCAAAAATCATGCTGCCAGTTTTTTGCACGTGGAGCTTTGAATTTTCTATGTTTTAATGAATGATCCGTATTCACTACTCGTTAAAATTAAAAATAATTTCCAGATAACAGGCTGTAATAGACAAAGCTAAAGATGGAACTTTGAAAGAAAACATAATTGAAATTACCTCGGAATTTCTTCAACATTGGTTGTGGTTCTCTCTGAAGTTTTGCAGCAGTAAAAACATTTTAATTGACCTGAGGAATTAGATGGTATGACTGAGTCCCCGTTTGGCCCCCATTTTGTGGAAAATGAAAATGGGTAGAATAGTGTTTTTTTTTTTTTTTGAAAAATGAGTGGTTGAAAAGGAAGAAAAAATTTTCGGTTTATGTGTAATATTATTTTATGAAAGATTGTGTGGTTGAAAATAGGAGATAGAAAAATGAAATATAATGAAATGGAAATTAATGGGGGCCAAACGGGGGCTGAAGTGTACAACACTTAGTTTGACTTCATTTAGCAATTTGTTCATTCTAAACCAAAATGTTACATTCCCGTCCTCTGTTAATGTTCTACTTAATATTCTGGGATGACCAGAATTAGGGTCTAGATTGAAAACTCTTACGTATTCCTTTTGAATCCATAGAGAATAAGAGAGAGAAAAAAGTATCATGTGGACAAAATATGTGGAAACTAAAGACTACAATAAGAAACAATAAAAACACGTTCAGTTCCCCAAAAGTACTGGAGAAGCAAAGATAAACAATCGAGGAACTTGGAGTTTATTTTGATTGCCAGCTTTCAACCAATCAATAACCAGGGATACTTGTCCTTCCAACAATTGGCTGATTTCATAGCATTTGAAAAAAGTAATGGTGGTTATATATGCTCGTTTTAGATCACATTTAGAAAAATATTTCCTATAGTGATGTAGTGGATAAAACTTATGAGGAAATAATTTTGTTTGTCTGTTGTCACAAGTTAGATTGAAATTTAAATGATGCTTGAAGAATGAGAGCAAAAGGATTGGTTGAGCTGCTTTTCCTTCTTCCTAGATGCTAGTAAACATCATTCAATTTGCACATGTTAATAAACCTTACTCAAAGATAGAGAGAATTTTTATTTCTAGTTTTTCCATTTTACTAGTATCTTGAGCTTTAAGGAAGTACTGAAGAATGAAGTCTTAGTATTAAGGTTTTAAGTATATTGGAGCTTGCCCTTCCTGGAAAACTAGGTCAGACAAGTCTATACAATGAGAGTGGAGAAAAGAAACATCCACCAACTAATTTATTAATTTTACTGATAATGATCTTTTGAACTGGTATCATGTATTTTTTAGTAGGTTATTTTATTACTATTTTAAATAAGAGCATTTATTCTTGGACATCAAAAGAGGGCAAAAGAGCATTAAACCTTGGTGAAGGGAAAGTGTCATCTAGAAGTTTGATTTTATTTTATTTATTGATCTCATTGTCTTCTATTTTCTTAGGCTCGATTGGAAATGTTCCTGTCATGCTTGCTAAACCACAGACTTTTATGAATGCAAGCGGTGAGTCTGTAAGTTTTCTCAACAACTAGACATACTTTTTTTATTACATATCTTTCCCTTGTTAAGTGATAAAAGGTTGAGTTATTTGCTCTTGTTGGCAGGTTGGTGCTATTGTTTCATATTATAAGATTCCACTGAACCAAGTTCTTGTGGTAAATCATCCATAGTCTTAATTAGCCATTCTGTCACTTTCTAATCACTAAATTTGATGAGTTCATGTTTTCAGATTTTTGACGACATGGATCTGCCATTTGCGAAGTTACGATTGTTGCCAAAAGGTGGACACGGTGGACATAATGGGTGAATACTAAGCCACTGAACTGATTTTCTGTTCTGCATTCTGAGTTGCAGGAAAATATGAAATAACGGAAAATAGACTCTTTTGAATTGTATCTTGGCTTTTTAAGTGAGAATTATGTTGATTATTTTAGTAAAGTTACTGGAGCATATGCAGAAATGTTAAGGGGGGGGAGATGAGCAACATTTAACTATTTTTATCCCAGTGCTAACTGCTAATATTCCATTTCTTTTCCTTTAGAATGGTTGTTTTCCAAAAAAAACCTTGACACTCCTTTATTGACGATAATCTTATTGGCTAGATAACTCTACCACTATCAGTATATTATAATATCAAATCTAAGCAACGATCTCTGAGAAATGAAGTAAATTAATCTTTTCCCCAAATTGTGATGGATTTCTGGGTTAAGTGATTCGTATCAAGATTTACATTATTTTACTCTTGGACTTTTATATATCTAATTGAGCTTGCTCAGGTATAATATGGTTGCTAACTCCTGTGTTACTTTTTATTACAATTTTAGTGGTGTTTTCTGAATTGATTATACAATCTTTTTAATCATTTGCAGGATGAGGAGTATCATAACTCACCTAAAAGGTAGTCGGGATTTTCCTCGTTTACGAATAGGTATTGGGAGGCCTCCAGGAAAAATGGAAGCTGCTAATTTTGTTCTCCGTCCTTTTACAAGAGACGAACGTGTAGAGGTACTCGACTTTCTTGCATATGTTCCTATGAAAAGAGAATTGACTTTTGATCTAGATTCTGATGACTACGCCTTTACCTTTTGCCAGTTGGATTTCACGTTTCAAAATGGCTTGGAAGCAGTTCGGATTCTTGTGCACGAGGGCTTTGATAGAAGTGCAACCTTCGTCAATAGTGCTAAAACGTTGGAACATTTTAGTTAGCAATTCTTATTTTTCATCCTTTAATCATGGGTGTTTGGTATTGATTAAAATTAGAATTTATAGTAGATTGTGAAAGAAGTTTTTGAAATGTGTGATTAAAAAGTTGTGGGATCCATAAAAAATGTAGTTAATATTGATTGTTTAACTTAGATTTAAATTAAAATTAGATTTTAATCTATACCAAACGGGGCCGTTACATGAGTGATCAACTGTGATCAACTTTCAACTCTGTTGTATTGGGTGGAAAGTTGCGAACTTTTTAAAGATATTTGTTACATTGTATGTATACATATTTTGAATTTTTTAATATATTCGTCTTTCTTTTTTGCAATATTCCTAGGCATATCGGATCAACTAACTGTTTTCATTCATATGAATTTCAGATGCATATTTCTGAAAGGTTGAGGATTTTCGCTGGCGCAAATTGAAGGTTAGATTAAAGTCTGCAAAAATTGAAAAAGGTTTGGGACCGCTACTGTAACGCCCCAAATTTTATTAACTTAAATTTGAAATGTTATCGATATCATTCCATAATCATACATCAAGTGGAAAAAAGAATTTAAAACTTAAAACTTTAATTTATTGAATACTTTAATGCTAAATCAAATAAATGTATTGTCATGTAACATAGAATGTTAAATGGAAATAAAAGGAAACACACAATGTCCTAGGGGAATTATTTTTAAATGGTTTTTTGCAAATTTCTTTACTTGGCAACGTATGCACAGCTCAAATACCATCCACGTCGATCGATCTGACCTAAAATATTAAATTTTAAGGAACGAGTAATTTATACTCAATAGGATGAGTGCGTCCAAAACAATATGATAACTTTTAAAACATGAATTTACAATATTTCATATCATCATTCATCAAGAGCAATTGATGATCAATCGAATACTCTAATACATTTAAGAAGACCTGAAGGAGATCTCACATTTTATTTCATTTTATAGAGACCCGCAAGCCAATTAGTATTTCATGAAATAAATCACGTCAAAAATTATAATATTAAAAGGATGAATCAACTTGTACATAGCATCCTACCTCGTTTGATTTGAAGAGCTATAAAGGATGTAAAATTTTTGCACGTGGAGAATCGTTGCCTTTTTCCTTTCTTACTCTTCCTTTGGTTTCTACTGCTATAT